CCCAGAAGAGTGAACATCCCCCTCTCAGCACCTACCTAACACCAGAGGAGGACTGGGTGGGATGGAGATGTGTGCGGTGCAGAGGACTTCCTTTCTGTTTTACTCTCTTCCAACTGCTCAGTAGGAAGGGCACATTCTAAAATAGTAACATGAATTGACAGGTGGAAGTTCCCATGCTCAAGTTACAGATCCAAGTTTGGATACTATGAAGTCTGCTTTTTAAAAACAAACAGATTAAGATGTTGAGAAGCTCCTTTGAAAGACATGAAAAAAAAAAAGTAAAAACCAGGTTTAAGTCAGAAAAAGGTAGATATTACATCAGTCAAAGTAGCTACATTTTTACCTATAAGAATAAAAATCTTAATCAATACACACAAACACATCCATAACTCAAGCCTGATTCGGCAGACTGCTAACCGTGTGCCATTTTGGAACCCAATTCCTAAGAAATGACCTTACAGTATTGCCATAAAATTAAGCACTTTTATGAGGCTTTAGAGGACAGTTAAATCCTTAAAATACAATTTTGAGCCTCCTTTATTTTCATGAAGGCAATATGTTAACACTAGTTTTGTTTCCAATTACTATTCCTTTGGCAACCAGCATGTGTAAAAATAAAAAAAGATTTTTCATTTCTGTACCTCCCATTTGATAAATAGATCTTTTTTAAAAACTCAGTCGATATTAACATTTGAAGTGACATTTTAAACCTAATATTAATACCCTAAATAATGAGAGAGTGTACTAGAAAAGAATTTTTCTTTGCATGACTGAAATATTGTGTTCAAAACACTGCCATCCTGCAACTGCATAATGAACAGAATGTATCTAAGATGTGCTAAAAACTGGATTGGAATGATAAGTAGGCAGAAAAAAAAAATGTTGAAAATATGTCAAATTCTCAGCTTAAAATGTTCAATATAATTGCTTAGAGCAATGGTTTAAATACAGGACTTAATTTATGAGTCAAGTTGCTGTACATAAAATCAAGGCCTTTAATGTTCAGACATATTTAATACTTTCAACAATAAAGAATTTTTTAAAAATTTAAATGTTCAACACTACCTTCCTACCAACTTCTTCCCTCCGATACAGGACCTCTGAACTACCCTGTTGGATTTCTTTTTACAACGTGAAATTGCTGTGTCTCTTACTGGCCAGCAGCGCCACAGAGACCATGACAAAGCTATAGAAGCTCTCCAGGGCCTGTGCCTGGCACAGGGGTCACCATGTTTGCTCACAGGAGGCCTTCTACAGAGACTGTGCAGGCACAGAGAGTGGGGGTCACACCTCCTCTTCTCTGCGGGTTGTGTTTGCTTCTGAGTTCCGTGTGAACATACAACATGGATTATGATGATGATGCAGCTATTCATTAGTACAGAAGGTGAATGTCATGGCCTCAGTAAACATCTGGATGTAAACATCTCAATAAACCACTAGGAAAAGTTTAACTTCAATGTGCCAGTCATGGAGATGAAGTCACAAATTTATGTATCAGCCTTTTGGGAAGAAAAGTAGTAAAGCTGGATTCTACCCATTAGAGTCAGAGATGTCAAAATTTAAATCCCAACTGACTTTTGAATACATGAATCCCCAAGTAAATGCAATAATTCAAACATACTTGGAAAAAAATCAAACTACCGTATTTTTCGGACCATAAGACACACTTTTTTCCCCCCATAAGTGGGGGGGAAAAGTCCCTGCATCTTATGGTCCAAATATAGCCTACACATATACTTTAAAAAAAAAGTTTTTTTACTGTGTGGTCTCTGTGTGCTTGCCAGGCTCTAAAACGGTTCTAAATGCTGCTGTTTACTTTACAGGGTTGATTACATGTGTTTATGACTGTGATGTTGGGTTTTAATGCACATAAAATATTTTAGGACACTATTTGTTTCAGAATCTTTTTTTCTTCATTTCCCTTCTCTAAAAACTGGTGCGTCTTATGGCCCGGTGCGTCTTATGGTCCGAAAAATACGGTACATCTTGCAAGAAGTAAGATAATCCATTTAGAAAGTTAGATCCCATATTACTATGCATATTTAAAGAAAATTATGTCACATATTAATATGTATAATTACAGAAAAAATGAAGAATACTCCAGTTCGATTTGACTGGCACAACATTGTTGTTGCAGATTAAATTGTAAATCTCAAATTGCTGAAAAGTTAGGGTTTATGGTCAGGGTCTGGATTATCGACATTACTCACTAGCAAAGGATCTTAAAACTGATTGCTCCTGCTACTCATTCTCACCACACACAACTCTCCTAGGCTCCATATACCACTATGTTTCTAACATTACTGTCCATTAACAAACAAAAAAGCCCTTCCATGTGCCAATGGGGAAAGTATAGACTGCTCTTTCCTCTCAGTATGCCACACAAATATGTATCTTAGATTATACTTGCAGCAAGACCAACAGCAGGTCTATTAACTTGTTAATGCAGTCTTAGACACTGAGTTTTTATAGAGCATTTAAAATAAACAAATATTTTGCCACATCTTTGCTACTTTTTATGTATACAGATGAGCAAACTACTGCCAAAGTACTCACATCACTACACACAAATTAGAGTAATCCTTCCCTTTTAGATGGGCAAGCATACTAGCACATAAATATATAAATTATTATATGTTAGTAAGTAAAAGGTTACATTTTTTAGGAAGACTGTCCATCAGAATCTTTCCTGCCCACATGGCTTTCTTCCTGGCAGACTAGAAATAAGTAAGGAACTCCAAGTCTAAGTCAGGGTTTCTCAACCTTAGCGCCACTGTATTTGGGACCGGAAATTTTGTTATGGGGACTGCTCTGTTCATTAAAGAACATTCAGTAGCATTCCTGACACACTGAATGCCAGTAGCACCCTCTCCCCAGCTACCGCAGCCATAAGTATCTCCAGGTCTTGCCAAGTATCCCCTGGGGGACAAAGCTGCCCAGAGCTGAGAACCATCAGTCTAACCAACTTCAAGTCCTTTAGTCTATTAAGCACAGGGCAGGATTTGACCAACAGGTGACTCCACATTACATATGAACAAAAACTAAAAAGAAATGCATTACTATTTATTAAGCAATCACTTGCTTTCCTTTCAACCTGCTTCTTTTTTTGTCAGAATGCTATCTCAGGGCGTAAGATCTGTGGCCCACAGTGTCTAATAAGCCAGTGTCTCCTAGCCCCCTGATTCCATCTCACCAGACCCAGGGCAGACGCTCCAGTCCCAACAAGACAATAAGGAGTGGTCAGGGGAAGTGTTCTCCCTCAGGGGATCTCACCAGTCCTCCTCAGGCACACCTTGGTTTTATGGCCTGCGGTTTCAACTGAAACAAGTTGTTCTGCATACTTCCTACTACAGCTGTACCTGCGACCTCTGGTTTCAGTTTGTCAGTAACTTCACTGATGCCTGGGCCCAGATATGATTTTTCCCCCAAACACTTTAGCCCCAACATTCCACGAGGCTCCAGGACAAGATTTGCTCAGAGCACCCTTGGAACTAGGAGCCAACAAACATGTTTTGCCTAGTCCCCAGCCTACTCAAACACCGGCTATCCGGTTTCAAAACAGTATGATTTTAAGGGGAAAAGACATTTGACAGCGACAGCTTAGAAAAAGAATTTCCAAGTCAAAAATTTATTTTGCCCATCAGATAGGTCTTATGAGAGAATGACGATTAGGAAAAATAGAACAAGTTTTTCTAACGTTACTGTTCAAGGAAATTAACCATGACCTCACATACTGCAGAAGTAAAAAACGCCATTCTGACACTGAAACTTAGGATCAATCAGCTATTTCAGTGAGTCAGAATTAATCAGAAATGCAGACCACTGCATCACTACCATGCACGTACCATCGCTCTGTAGCTTAGAAATGCGTATTCACCAGAACTCAAAGCTTATAGGTTCAAATGCTTGTTCATTTAAAAATATGTATTGTTAGGCTCTGAAGAGATTAATTCTCCCTGGGATCTTACGTTATACTGCTAAAAGATATGTAGATATATAGGGTTATTTTTCTTTAGAAAAAAACTGTTGTTCCCATTTAAGATTTTACAGTCAATTTTTTAATAATTATTGAAGCTACAAAACAGGGATACTAACCATAGAAACTAAATCTTGGTTTGAAATCACAGAAACTAATTTTTTTCATTTCTATTATTTCTATAGATAAATACTTTATTCTGTTTTTCTTCCTTGAGGGGGAATGTTTATTAGGTTTAAGAGCCATAATATAAAGAGTAGTCATCATTATAAAATTAAGCCATTTTCCTGTCACATTTATCTAGTAACAGAAATTTATTCTGATTGACTGAAAGCAAATTAGATTTACAGGGGAAGAAATCTCACAGAAGCTCAAAACCAGATTTCCCCAAATCATAGGAACACATGAGCACCATTTCCCACCTAAAACCCAACAGCATCACCTGCATGCGTTTTCACGGACCCTCACTTTCACTTTCTCATCCATAGTATTAAAACAGTTCATTTTTTAGAAACCAGCCACAATTAACAAGGTCATTAGCTTTGCTTGCTGGTCCTAGGCGCCTCTGCTTTATCACTGTCCCTCTCTCGTTTATGTTAGCAGCTAGGTCTCAACTCCAAACATATAAAAACTATCTTTAATTAAGCATTTTCACTCTGTGAGTTCTTACATAACTTTTAAATTAGCTTTATAAGTATAACAAGTATCGTCACCATTAGCAACTGAACACCACCAGACTGGACAAGCATTCAAATATAAACTGCCATTTCGGTTAGCAGAGAGATTTAAAATAAGACCACCACGACTCGTTATCGATTACAGAGAGCTTCCTAGTCTCAGTCCCTACGCTATTTTTTTTTTTTTTTTTTTTTTTTTTTTTTTTAAGTAGCTATTTTGGAAAGAGAACAGAGGAAGACAGAGAGAGAAACGATCTTTCAGTAACCAGGAACTCTCGGGAATTCTTTTCAGTTAAGCCACAAAGCCCTAAGTTTAAAAATATATATAAGCAGCCAGTGAAACTTACTTGACAGTGACTCGATTCGATAAGTCCTGTAGATCCCCAGGATGGAAAAGCTGGGCTTCTTTCAATCCAATCTGTTCACAAGCTTTCAAAAAAACGTTTATATTATCCTGTGGGGAAAAAAGTGGAAAGTGATTGCTTAGCCGAGAGCTCTGTCTCAGACAAAGGTTACAAAATTTTTATGATAAAACTTTCGAGCTTCAAAGTCCAATTACAGCCAGCACAAAAAAAAAGGAGACAGCAAGACCGATGAATACATGTATTTAAAAAAAAAAAAATGCAAGGGCATGTATAGCCTTTCAGTCCTCCAGAGCATTCACGGCGGTGCTATCTGCTGCCCCGGCATACGCCGTTTCTGTGATCTTTGTGACTGGCACGTTAAACATTACCTGTTACAGGACAAGTGCCTAGCCACTGAGCAGTAATCTACACTTTGATGTCAGCTCTGCTCTGCAAACAAACGCCCTCTTCCCAGCTTTGCACGACAAGCCTCACCTCTCCTCTTTAAAAATAACTCCAGCTACTGACATTCACCCACCCAGAAACTGTTGGCAGGGAGGAAATAAGAGGAGGAACATTCTGTTTCTATGATTACAAATTACAGAAAGGCCGTGGAATACCACACCTGGAATCTGGGTTTGGTTGCTGAGCCGGCTCTTGACAGACAGGGAAACCATACTATAGGACCGGGGAGAAGCCTGGCTTTCATTGGCTGAATCGCAGAGCTTAGGTGTGGCACATTGCTCAACGCCCTGCAACCTGCCTCAGGAACTGCCTCCAAAGAAATACAAATCTAGGCTGTCCTCATATCTAATTTCAAAGCCAAAACCATCCCTTTACAAGCCAATGCTTTCCACTTACACAGACACTGACTACAGTGTGTTCTATGCTACAGCCAGCTGCATTTCAGAGGCACATATTTGGTGAGCAGAATTAGCATGAGCTTCCTTCCACCTTTACTCTTCCTAAGGAAACCCTTTACAGGGTTGAACTTGTGGTGATCCCACGTGAACTCTTGACCCTCACTTCGTTAGGCTCCTCGCTTGCCAACACACGTCTGTCCGCTTACACATGCTGGCAACGCCACGTCCATGGTGCGAGCCTCAGAGCCTCCCTGAAACCTCACCTCCTTCCCTAACAGCCGGCCACGACAAGTAGGGACAGAAGACAAGCTACACTTGAAGAAGGGCCAATGCTCCTTTGCCGTGTTGAGAAGCTCATTCTCGGAGGGGAAAAAAGGCAGGAGGTTATGGCAAAGTGGGAGGGAGTGATAAAGAGAGAAAGATGAAGGGACTAAATTGAATAGTTTGGATTCGTCAAGAGTGAGGGGATTTAGGGAAAGGGCAAGAAAATACCTAGCAAGAGAAGAGCAATGCTGGTTGCTAGGAAACTCAAGCACATTAAAAAAAAAAAAGGCTTTGTAAAGTCTTTATTCTAGTGTACTATCAGGAAAAGGCAGTGTGAGCTATCTGGGTGAAAGCTCAAATCCATGATTCATTTTAAATAAGAGGTCAAAGATTAAAAGAATGTATATGTCAAAAATAAAACAGCTCAATGAAAGGTGTTTTATATGACCCTATGTGGAAAAAAGGGAAATAACTATGGGGGGAGAATAGGGAGGGGCAAAAGTGGCCATTTTGTTGGTAAGCTCATATAATTTCTAGAAACTGTACTATCTGTAATTACCAAATGATTCAAATTCATGGTTCGATGACTGACCCTCAGACAAGCAGACAAGAGTAAGTGATTTGGTATACCAGAACTCCAAATCCTATAGGATGCAAATCTCATATCCAACAAGGAAAAATAATCCATAAGAAGTCTTCCCACAAATCCAATTTGGTTCTAAAATTTTTAAATGTTATAAAACATTAAAACAAAGTTAAATTAGAAGTAAACTGCCCTAACAGGTTTGGCTCAGTGGATAGAGCGTCAGCCTGCAGACTCAATGGTCCCACGCTCAATTCCGGTCAAGGGCATGTCCGTTGGTTGCGGGGACATACCCAGTAGGGAGTGTACAGGAGGCAGCTGATTGATGTTTCTCTCTTATCAATGTTTCTAACTCTCTATCCCTCTCCCTTCCTCTCTGTAAAAAAATCAATAAAAAATATTTTTTTTAAAAGTAAACCTACTTAACTGACAGTCAGAATTATTCTTCACATATTTTATAGAAACATAATCACATTCATTCAGGTGACAAATATGTACAGGCTGATAAGGATAAAGCTACACATGCCTCAAAACCCATCCAAAGTATTTAAAAATGAACCACTTAAAATATAACATGACTACACTTCATTGGAGACAAAGAAAAAATACAATTAAATAGAAATAAATTCTAATTTTAAATAAAACCTTTGCAGTAAAAAACAGAATCTTTTAAACAATTTGATGTGCTCACGTTTAAAACAGACAAACTTCATAAACAAAACCACCCATGTCCTAAGCAGCAGGAACAGGTTGGACTAGAAATCAGTATTGTAACTTAAATCATGCTTACTGGACTTGAGCCCATTGTTAATTTATTTTATGCGATTTCCGAGAGTTGCCTAAGGGGAGATAGAAAATTATAACTTTTTCATGTCTGATGAAACATCAAGAAACTACACCCAGCTCAACGTATTAAAAGGGAAGCATGTAGTCCTGGTTTCTGGAATCATTTTCACTAGGAACTCGCAAAAACAAAAGTGAAAACAAAGGACAAACCTGAAACAAATCTTATCTCACTGGACAGGTAGCCAGGACTCCAAGTTAGCTCTGTCAGCAACCAACTATGTGGCTTTGGAAATATTAACCTTTCTGGCCCCGTTTTCCGCATCTGTTTGTGGGTCTGTAAACCGTTACCAAGGGCACACGCTTGTGTCTGCATGGGGAGGGAAGCCCAGCCCCTCCTAGCCCAGCCCTCCACACAAATATTTCATAGCCCAGCTTACATAAGATACTTCATGTCCAAAGCCTATCTAAACATCAGCAATTCTTACACCCTGAGGACCAAAGGTGGCTTCTTAAAAATAAGCCCCCCAAAAAGCTGATCCCTGAAGATCTGATCTAGCTCCTTTCAGGTTTAAGTACTTCCATGGCTATGAATAAAAACAAATACTATGTAAACAGAAATAGCAGGATGGCTGAAGATTTTCATATTCTCTCAAACCCCCTCTCCACCCTTTGGCCTTGAATCAATTATGAGGGCAGTCAGGAACAGGTGTGGGATAGAGGGGAGAAGGGTAAAGTAGAGAAAGATGAATGAGTCAGGAACAGTACCTTGCTATTACCACTGAGGCAAGAGGAGGAAGCCACAGAAATTCACAAAGATTCCCAGAATTATATTAGTCTGCTGTAGTATCTCTACAGATTATCTACTGCTGCATAGCAAACTGGCCGAAAACTCAGCAGCTTAAAACAATAAACATTATGATTACACACAGTTTCTGAAGGTCAGGAATTTGGGAGTGGCCTAAACTTGATGGCTGTGGCTTGAGGGTCTGTTGGGTTGCAGACAGATGTCAGGTGAGGCTGCAGCCAACTGAACGCTTACTGGAGGCTGGAAGAAGCTGTCCCCAAGGTGGCTTCCTCAGACAGCTGGCAAATCAGGGCTGGCTGTTGGCAGCAAGCCTCAGTGCTTTGTGAAATGGGCACCTCCACGGGGCTGCCTGATAGAGGGAACCATCCCAGAGAAAGCAAGATGGAAGTTGCAATGTCTCATAACCTAGCTTTCCAAGTCACACTCCAGCACTGCCTCATGTCCTCATGGTTACACAGGTCAGCCTTATTCAACATAGGGAGGACTAAGAATATAAATAGCAGGGGGTGAGAATTACTGGGGACCATCTTGGGGACTGGAGACCACAGTTCACTTTCTGGTTCCAATGATTCATGTCCTCACTGATCCTTTCCCAAGGTGCAGGAAACTCTCATCCCTTTATAAGGTGAGCTTGAAACCTGGAATTGCATCATCTAAATCAGATCCAGGTACACATGAGGTGCCTCAGGTACAGTTCCCTAAGTATAGCCCTTGAGCACTTAAATCTTAAATGCCAGTGAACCAATAAAATAAGTTATCCACCCCTCCTCCCCCCCGCCCTCAACAGGTATAGGGTAACTACTGGAGATACTCCAGTTCTACGTGTGGAGAAATGAATGCCTGAAATTCTGAAATCCTGCAAAGCGTAGATTAGTGGGGAGAGCCATTCATTAGAATTCCAGGCCAGGAAATACTTCTTCCTGCTTTTTTGCTTTACCCTCTGAATGCTTGGTTCACCTTGACTATAATTTTTCCATTTCTTTGAAAAGCAGCTTCTGTTTGCAGCAGTGTTAGCTTTCTCAGTCGGCTTCCTCCCCATTAAAATTTGGGAAACTACAAGTCTCCTCGTTTTGCAGTCCTTTCTCCCTTTCAGTTGGAAGTTTGGGTGTTTCTGAACATACAATTCTCTCGAAAATATCCTGTCTTCTGTGAATGGTATTGGACTTCATTGGATTACACCAAAAAAAAGCCACACCCACAAATCCCTTCACAAGAACACCTTCTCTGTCTTGGTCTGCAGAGATGACTGAGGGACACCACCCTTAAGCCTCTTAGAAGTCCCAATGCTGGTCTAGATAAATTTCTAAGGCACAACTTTGAATCTTTCTAAGATCTTAAAAGAATTTTACAGCCACACCCTCAGCTTCATCTTTTTATTTTTTCCTTAAATCTTTATTGTTGAAAATATTACCATGTCCCCTTTTTTTCTCCCATTGACCCCTTATTGCTCTCCCTCACACCCTACTCCAGGCCTCCACCACCCTATTGTCTGTGTCCATGAGTTATGCATATATGCATACAAGTTCTTTGGTTGATCTCCTCCCACCCACCCATCCCTGCCTTCCCTCTGAGATTCGACACCAGCTTCAACTTTAAACCTTGTTTTTCTAATAGAGCTCTGAATTTGAACTTTGCCAGAAAGCCACGTGTCAATTCTAGCATCACCTGACCAAGGAGACTGATAATTCTCAAAACCAGCAATTTCTATGCTTCTCATGTTTATAATCCTAACCTTCACTCTCCCACACTTCACTGTAATCAGCAAGAGGAGGCCAGACAGCACTCTTTTCAGATCACCTAGTTTATTAG